CTCCAGCCCCCCATGACCCTGGTGAGGATTAAGCGGTGTGTAGATAATGAATGGATGGATGCTCTATGTGGGATCAGTTGGATATTTGCTGGCATTAATCTGTTGTCTTTGCTCATCAACACTTTATTAGATCTTCATTTCTCAGACTTGTGACCTCTGTGTGAACAAACCTTAAAGCAAACACGACTGGAATCGTATTTACGTGTCACTGTTGTTATTTATGCTGTTTTCCAGTCATGTCATTGTCGCCCAGTGTGTTGCCTTCAGGATTAAGGACGATGTTTTATTGCTACTCACACTCGACACACTCTGAGGCCTGACGGCAGCATATTTAACACATCAGCGTTTTGCTTCACTGTCCATGTGTCCACCATGTGCATGTTCCTGAGGCGCTGTTGACAGACCGAAGCCTCACTGAGGTTGCATGAGGAATGTTTCTGAAACAGCCTTGTGACATGATCGGGGTTACACCACCGCAGACATTTGTGAAATGTGCGTGTGTGGGTTCCTGCCGAGGTGACTTCACGGAAACAGAACATTTAAGCCCTGACATGTTTGTTTCCCCGTCGGCCTCCGTATGTATGTTTTAGCAACTGTTTGAGGTTTGTCACGAGGAGAAGTCCCTGAAACCACCGCACTCGTCCGAGATGTTGAAACGCACGCCCACAAAGACATTATAGTGGGGTTAATCCTGGTTTGGCAACAACACTTCTCATTTCACTGACATTTGACTGAAACTGTGATTAATTTAGATTTTAAAAAAATGTAATGGGATTCGTTAGAGCTACTTTCTGATAATGCTACGGTGGATTGTGAAAACCAGACCTGAGAATTAGGCTAGAAAAATCTTCATCTAGGGTCAGTTTAAACCCTGAAATAAAAATAGAGCTGAAGACACGTTTGTCTCTGAACAGTAGATTGCAGGATGGGGTTTTTCTGTGTTATTTAAATCAGTTGTGAAATGCACCTTTCTGCCCTGTGTCGCAGTGCCGGAGTTCCTCTTCACGCTCCGGTTCCCTTTTCTGCTTTGGTTCAGTTTGTGAATGTAAAAAGTTGCATTAACGTTTTTTTTTTCTCCACTAGAGGGACAAAGAACTCCAACACAAGCTGACAGACTCACAGCACGGCGCTGTTGTGCGTTTTTACAGTTGTTGTCATTAAAAAAAAAAAGCTGCTGTCATTATCACAGCACACGACTGGAATCCTTCTCTGGCTTCCTGAAGCCAAACAGGGTGAACAGCCTCAGTAGAGCTTCACAGGAGGAGACGTTCATCCATTCTGTTAATCTGAAAATACAGATGACTGCAGCTTTAAGAGCTGATCAACAGTCACGTTGTTTTAACGAAGCCCAATACAGACGCGGTGTTGTCCAAATGTTCTGCTGTTACAAGAGCAGCTTCGTCTGTGGTCGTCTGAGTGTTAATGGTCATTAAACCTCTGCTGATACGGTATCGGCGCTGCTGCTGCTACGACTGATAAAAGTATTTGTTTTTCAGACCTTTCATCATGCATTATGACCATTTTCTAGGACTTGTGAAAGGTTTCGTTCAGCATCAGAGGAGCCGGGAAACATTTAGCGTGTTCTGATGTGATGTAGTTTAATAGACGGAGTCGTGGTTCGTCTTCAGGTCCAAACCACAAGAAATGACCGACAGAGTGCAAAATATTCTGTTGTTAGTTTCTGTATGTCTCAAACACAACATGTGCTACTTCTCTTTTTTTTTTTTTTCTCTTGAAAATAGAAATGAAAAGTGAAATTTATTTATGAGAAATGTGACATCAGGATGCATTCAGTAATTTTGGAATTTTGCAGACGCTCATCTTCAAACGAGGACTGTTCCTCTGAGCTCAGAGTGTCCCGGAAATGTTAAATATCACACATTAAATACAGCAGAAGACACGTTTTTGTGTGGTTAGCCTTCTGCATATTACAACTGAAACAAAATCAAACTCGCTTTTTACGCTGTTTAAAAATAGCTGCACTCATCATTTGCATACGTGCGATGCTTCCTTAAAACAGCGTGTTTTTCATCCTCTATTTCAGGAGGACTCAGTCGCTTCATGGACCGAGCCCTGTGACCACATTCGGCCCGAAGGCATGCATGTTGCAGAACCCACTGGCAGTAATGTAAGTCCCAAACACAGTTTTTGTTGTTGTCATGAGAAGCGTTTGTGTCCTTGTGTTCCCGTGCAGTCATGAGTCAGCGTGCATGTTTGAATAACAGACTTTAATCTGTGTGTATCAACCAAAAAAATTCTAAAAGCGTTTGCTGCTGGTGCCGTTGGGTCCTGTTGGGCCTGCTTGGACCAGTACTGCTGGCGCCGTTGGGTCCTGTTGGTCCTGCGTGGACCAGTACTGCTGGTGTCCCTGATGATATTTGATATTTAGTCGTTGACTGGCTTTATTAGTTTTCTACATTCCATCCAGATGTTATCAGATATTCTGATAGCAGTTTAATGTGTCATCAAACTTCCTTTTCATGATACGTGCGACTTGACACGTTCAAAATCAGCCATCAGATGAGCATAAAGGCTGAAAAGGCACAGAGAGAGAGAGGAGTCTGATTTTCCTGTAGCACCGTGCCCTGCCCTCTCTCTGTCTGATAAACTCAATGGACCCATCTGGAACATCTGTCCTTTACATACCGCTGTCAGTCTCTTCAATGAAGCACAGCGCACATCATTTGCATAACCGACGCTAGACTCTGGTTCTACCTACAGACTAACAGCAGTCTGTCAGTAAACACTGTACATCGGCTCCAGCTTCAGCCCGATAGCTTCCTTCTCACACGTGCCGCTCCAGCTGCCAGTTCCTATTAATGCACGCTTTGAATTGCACTTTATAGATTTACGACCATGCAGCCGGTGCCTCAGCTGAGCCAACCGCAGCTGGTTGAGGGGCAGCGACGCACATCCACAAGCTGCAGAGGGTTAATTATTCAGAGCAGAGTCATTTTAAATGGAGGGAACCTTTAAACATACAGCGGTGACAGAACACCACGACACCTGAGACGCCTGCTAGCCACGTTAGCCTGTAGCCGAGTCATTAAAACCACAGAGGATGCCAGCGTGAAGATTAAAACCTGCTTTGGCTTTGAAACATATCGGCCACACTGCTGAGCATCACGGGGCAGAGGGACTTCACTGGTTTCTCAGAGAAGGAAACCGATTAATGAGCCAGTAAATGCAGCTTATAAATCTTTATTGTGTGCTTCTGCCACACAGTTTATGAGAATGTGTTAACCTTATAAGCCCGGGCTTCTGTTTAAATGTGCTAATATCCTCTTGTGTAACTTCCACGTCTGAAAAAATACAGTATATGGAAATATATATATTTGACTTTCATTTCAGGGAAACACTGAAAGCAAAGTTGTGCTTTATCGCTGTACATAGTTTTTCATTGTCAGATCGACTTTCTCACTTAATTCACATCGCCTTGGGTCTTTATTGGGTTCTGTGGGTTTAAATGGAGCTCGGTGGGCGTTCACTGCCTACCACAGGTTCTGTGCTAATAACAAAGATGTGTTCCAACTCGCTCACACGGATCAGACACCAGTCGACTGACTTTAATGTGCTGAGCGATACTGGTCCAGGTACTTTCACTGCAGAGATTCTGTCCACTCATCATGACAATGGTCAGCAGCGCTCTGGTCACGCCCTCAGGTGAAATGTGACCCGGTGCCAAGTAGGTTCAGAGCCGGCCGTATCAGCGCACCTTGGCCTCCGGTACACACCGGCTCCATATTGGATTAAAGGCACAAACAAATATTTATCACCTCATGTCTGATTTTAAAAACAAGAAAACTGTGTGTCTGAACAGGCGTATAGCGTCGGTGTCACCAGCTGCAGGTTTCAGGCGCCGCTTTCTTTCAGTCTGGTCCTTAGAAAGTCAAACAGGCAGCCAGAGGTCAGGTGACTGATTTGACTAGTCAAAGGTTTGGCTTCACAAAGTCATGGTTACGTTGTCTGAATGTTTGGAAGGCGTGTCCTGTGTCTGCTCATCTATTCTCACAGACATTCATACATTCAGCTGAACGCTCTCTCTGCTTGTGAAATGAAGACAAAAGTTCAGAAACAAGTTTAAAAGCAAGACAGGAAGGTGTCCAGTAGCACGAGCCTGAAGGAGCCCAGTGATGGAGGATGTGAAGGCTGTGTGCTAAACCACACATGCCAACATAGGAAAAGAAAACTATCGCTGCTCAGTATTATGGGATAGAGGAAGATCCTGGTCATTCCCTTCATTTCAAATCGTTCTCAGATCACCGTATGCTAAGATCCTACAGTGTGAGAGTCAGAAACCAAATAATTCCCCTTTAAGCAACACTCGGTGGCAATGGGGAAGAAAAACTGTCTTTGCAAACAGGAAGAAACCTCGGACAGAACCAGAATCGGGGCGGGCGGCTGTTTGCCTCGACCAGCCGGGGTGAGAGGAGAAGGAAGAGAGAAAAGAGGAGCGTTGAGAAATAACGGGCCGGTCGGTGACACCAGTACCCAGAAAGCTGAGCCGGAGATACCTGCAGGGAGAGAAGATAGGACGAGATGCAAGCTATGGAAGAGAGAGGAGGCTCCACAAAGTTAATGACAGGAAATAAAGCTTTAGGTTTAATCTTAAGACAGAAAGTTGGTTTAACAGGAGAGACATCTGATTCTAGTTTTGGATCCTGTGAGAGCCACAGGTCAGGTCTGCTCTGTTAGAATAAGATGTAGGACTGAAACGATGAGACCTTTGCGATATTACGGAGTTTGTATGTCAGGAGAAGGATCTTAAAATCTATTCTGTGACTGTTTCGTTACGTTTAGGATGTTTTTGTCAGTGTGCTGCATTTCTGAATATCCACAAACGTAAGAGAATATTTTAATATGATAGTTTGACAGCTTCATTTAACTCGGTATCTCCAGAGCTTTCACATAAGACGCAGTCAAATCCACTCCAACTTTATAAAGTTTCTCAGAACCAGCTGTTGGAACAATGTACGGGAGGTGTTGGTCCATTTCATGCAGTTCTGAGCCTCTAGATCCGGTTTGTCAAACTCATTTTCATCCAGGGCCACATAAACGACTCCTTAACATACTGCAGATAATTGTCTCTGCATTTGATTATTATTATTTATTCTACGTACAAATACTGAGCATGCCTTCACCTAGAAGTAAACATATGTAGGCTCATTGCTGTGTAATTATAAAACCAATTATAACATTATATGACATAAATCCCATTCATTGATCAGATTAGGAAACACACATCACTCGCGGGCCGCATAAAATGACGTAGTGGGCTGGATTTGGCCCCCGGGCCTTGAGTTTGACACATGCTCTAGATGCAATACTATCCAACTAGCAGTGGAACATGTCTCGTTTAATTATATAACACAATGCAAGTCACCAGCATAACTTACTACGTACACAATCACGTTGGCATCACTCTGACACACAATCAACACAAGTGGATGACTTCACAAAGGTACGCAGGTGTGTGATTGTTCTGGAGCTGTTGTGTTTGATTGTGTCAAAGACAATAGGAGCTCAGTCATGTCAGAGTTATGAAAGACTCCTGACGTCTTCCAGTCAAAGCGTGGCCACTCTGCTGTTGACCTGTTGACAGTCACGTAAGGGTTTTCCAGCGCTGATTATTTGAAGGATTAGCGTTCTCAAAGCGGCTAGACAGGTTAAAAGTAGTAAAACCAGGCTATCTTTGTTCAGGCTGCGCTGCCTTTAGGCCTTGTTCCACATATTCTGTGTTTTCTAACATATTTGTGCGTTCTATATTCTGTGGGCAGTAGTCGTTGTGTGTTAGTGCACGAGGAGGAAGATGAGGGTGAAATGTCGAGCTTCTGCACTGGAGACCCGGGTGGTCCTCTGTGGGAGGGTGTGGTTCTGATACTGATCGGGCTGAATGGACTCCATTCGGGTGTCGCTCGTCCCCGACACCCGAATCACACCCCGAAACGAAACCCACCAGAGGAGTCGTTCTAGAGGCAGCCATGCCGGTTTGTTCCATGTTTTGTCCCGTTTATTTCATATTCTTCACAAACTAGTGTCAGACTGTGAACCACGTGGAGTAATGTGAGTTTTAGTCGACAGTTTTTTAAGATTCAAGTTTTTTATTGGTCTCAGACACAGTCATAGCTGGTGTAAGGTGCAGTGAGATGTGTTGTGAACCTGTTCCACACCAAAACAATATTAAAAAGATAAATAAGAATAAAGAATAAAACACACAAGAAGTAAAATATATATATGAATGTATACACATATGTATATATAGAGAGAGAGAAATAGCAGAAATAAATAAATCAAATTTCCAAACAGTGCAAAAAGGTATAAACAAAGAACATAATAATAAGATGATGTACATATATATATATATACAGGGTGAAAAGTGCCGTAGACACGATGCTGGTCTCCTGCCTGTGTGTCTGTTTGCTATGAAACAAACCAGATTCAAACCGCGTTCAACGTCTTCTGTCCAGTTAGTTAATTTTTTACTCCTGATTACAGTTTTAACAGAAGCTTTAATTAAATCTGCGCATATTTAATGTCTTCATTTATGCAGCTCTTATCAATACAAGCTTTCAAACATCATGCAAACCAGAATATAAAAACACAGCAGAAAGATAAGAAATGCCATAAACTGTCTGTTCAAATTCACAATAAATAGCAGCTGTAGGATGTAAATATGTCAGAATAAAACGTAGCTCACAGACCGACCTGTGGAAGTGATGTTGAAGCAAACTGCCGCCTCAGTCGTCTTCTGGTTTCTTATCTTTTACATCTAAACTGCGTTTGAATACCACACCTGATCTGTTAGATTTCACTAATGTTGGAGTTCCCATCGTACTGTGGACGATGTCATATCCAATGCTATGAGACGTTCTCAGTTTACTGGACAAGGAAGTTTATTTTCAGAAACAGTTGCTTAATAGACTTGAAAAGACCTGGCGCTGGCGTTCTAGTCAGTGTTCTTACTGTAACGAGGCATCAGGAAGCTGCAGCACAACGTTTTATTGTTTCCTTCATTCACCTGACAGAACCTCTTTTTTTTTGTTTGTTTGTTTGTTTTTGATAGACTGAAATATAAACTCTAAAAAATCAGTGATCTGCCTCCCCTCTCATGCTTAGTTAATTGCTATACTTGGTGGTAGAATACCTGTCATTGTGGTGAATGTGCAGGTTTCAGGAGCAGCTGTGTTGTTGTTTCAGTGAATCATACCTGCTGCACAACAAAAGCCCTTCCCTGAAATGGGCGGGTCCAACACAGCAGAGTGGGCGGGGACTGAGATAAAGTCAACCTTAAGACGAGTGAGAGCTTTATTTCAGCGGCAGAATGCACCAGGAAGGTTTAGTGTTAAGTCCTCCCCGGGACAAATATAGCCACGGCGAACCCGGCTGGAGGGGTTGTTAGCTGATCCCGGGGCCGACCACAGCGCATGGAGAGACTGTCAGACGGCCTGGGGCTGACTCACAGCTTGACCACGAGAAGTGAAGTGACTCCGTTGCTAAAGCTGCTCCACAATGTGCAGCATTCGAGGAAGTAGTTAGAGACAGAATGAGCTGTTTTGTCGGAGCGGGTCGCCAGGACAGAGCCCCGTTCTCCAGCAGCTGAGTCAGCCTGAAGCAGCATCCTTGTTACATGTGTACAGCCATGAAGATCAACTCGTACGTACTGCAGGAGGCTTCTGGGAGCCACGGCGAGAACAGAGTGTGGAAATGGTAAGAGGACCTTTCAGCATCTTCCCTGTCCTTGTATCAGCAGAGAGAGAATATATGTGATGGGTGACGTATTAACTGGAGCACCGGTTGACTGCTGGCCAGATGTTCCTGCTCTGTATCAGCTGATAGTAATGTTTAACTGATGGAGCCACAGGGCAGAGAACAGTTTTTGCCTTTTTCTGAGTTGTGTGTTGGGCTGTAGTGGATCTGGTGTGATGTGGAGGTTTAGTTTTTCCATGTCACTGATCGCATGTTATCACAGGCCAGCTGTGGCGCACTGGGACGGCGCTGTTGAATGGAAGGGGAAGGTCAGGGTGTGGATGCTTTGAGTGGTCGGATGAAAAATATGCTCATGAATAGATCAGAGCCGTTTCAAATGCTAATGAAGTTTCATGCGATTGTATTTGTCTGCACAGTTTCAGATGTTTGCACCTGTTGGTGCTCGGGCCACTCACATGGAGAGGTTCTAGTGCGTCTGACTGGTCTGTCAGCCGGTACCGCCTCACTGGGTTAGACTGCATTGTGCTGTTTGGGGTTTTTTGTTGGACAGAAAAAAAAAAAGAAAAAAAAAACAGGAACTGGATATGTCATAATTATGCTACTTTCTTGTGTTATTTGTTGGGACAGAAGAGTGTCGTGTGTGTGTGTGTGTTTGATTTAATTTGAAGCACAGTGTTCAGCATTAGGGGAAGTGTTTTATTCCAGATAAACTGATTTTAGAGGATATAATGTGTTCTCCTGGGAGGATGCTCATAGGGCTGGTCCGAAAGGCAGTTTCTGGTCTCCGGATGTTCATCGATCGGTTGGACAATGCGACTATTCGGAGATCAAAAAGGCTATCCCGATACCAGCACAGCGACCGAATATTTAAATGTTGGGCTATTGGGGTCCAGCCCTGGTGCTCAGGAGGAGAGAACGCCTGTGTGGTCCTCTGTCAGTGTGTCACGTCATTCAGAAGAACCCTACAACAGCAGCTTCAAGTGTTATCGTGGCACCTTCAGGCAACCACATGGACTGTCAGCGCGAGTGTGTGAACGCTGCCTTTTAATAGTCAGATGTACTGTAGGATTCATAGTAGATGATGTAACTCTGTTAGTGGAGTTATTACAGCCCTTAGATACCCAGAACAGTCAATCAAAGAGCAATGGGAGCGTAGAGGTGAACACATGGGGCGGGGCAGTCGCTGTTGTCATTGTGTTGGTAGAAACTCGGCCGGCCACGCCTCCGATAATGAATTAGTCGATGTAATATGTATTTATGTGCTAAAACAAAGCCGGCCAGACGAGTGTCACGGAGACGCTTCACCTCTCGCTTTAAAGGCGTTCACCGTTCTGACTGACTGACCAGAAACTCCAGCAGGTCCGGCTGCCTCGCTTTAGCGCTGAGACGTACCGACGACCTGCACAGACGAGATGTAGGGTTAATTATTAAATGCATTAATCAGTAAATATTCATTCTTCCGCCCCTGTTGCTTTTGGAGGTATTGAATGTATCCTCCTGCATGGGAGGCGTTCACACAACTTTACTGACAAGTTGAATCATCTGTTCTGAAGTGTCCAAACAGAGAAGTTGCTTTGAGCACATCAGCAGCTTTTTCCTCGTTCTCTTATTTAGCGTCAGTGATTTGTGCAACAGATTGGACGAGGCCTGAACCTGCCCTTTCTCAGAATGTGATTAAAAGTCCTAGTGTATGTTCTATGGTGGCGTCTTTCATGACGGAGAACGTTGTGGTCAGGACCGTGTCGGAGTCGCTCTGCCTGCGAGTACAGTTTACGTATTGATCATATAATGTTTATCTTTAAATCTATTACACGAGGCTTCAAACTTTCATCGCCTGATTTAGGGGAAGGTGAAGTAGAGGAACTCAGGATGCGTGTAGCAGCACGTTAGCGTTGCGATTGTTAAAAATCTTGTTATATATTAATACGTTTCAAAACGGACTTCTTGCGTAAGAACGACAACAATAAATGATTGTAGGAGCAGCTACAGTCGGCCTGTTGTGGAGTCAGTCGTTTCCTAATACGTGTGGCCGAGCTGCAACTAATGACAGCCATAACTAACCAACGCCAACAGACCTCAGCATTGTTAAACAACATGTGAATTAATCCCCCTTTTCCTATCAGACCATGCAGGAAAATCCACATTTCATGCTTCCTCTCTGGTCACTCCTTTATCATGTTTTGTCCCTGAGGACATCACCACAGCGGCTCTGAACTCACCACCGTGTACAAGTTTTAAAATCAGTTTGGGCTCCAGTCCTCCTCCTCATACAGCGCTCTTACTGCTTGATTTTTTAAATAAATCCTAGTGTTTTGTAAACGCTGTGAGGAGTGAAGTTGAGGTGAGGACCTGCTCACAGCGTGCAGGGTCAGGACTGTGTGGAAACAGTGTTAAACTGTAAGCTGAGCTAATTGGATCGGCGCTGGTGATGATAAACAATCTTCACTCCGTTAACAGATCTTACATCAGCTGAGATGTGTGGCTCAAGTCCCAGATCTGGACTGCTGTAAGATTCCTTTGTGATTCGGCCATTTTAGTTCTGTTCTGTGTGAGTCTGTAATAGTTCCATCTGTATGTTCAGGCACATTCAGGACCCCGCCAGCCAGAGACTGACGTGGAACAAGCCGCCAAAAAGTGTCCTTGTCATCAAGAAGGTCCGAGACGCCAGCCTGCTCCAGCCTTTCAAAGAGCTCTGCATGTTCCTCACCGAGGTATGACCGTGTTTTGTTCCTGCCGACGTTGTTCTGTGTTTTAGATGATTTTCTTGCAGCGTGTCGTGTAGCGTGAGCGACGTGTAGTGACAGTATCATACATCACGCTTCACTCTGTGTGCTGCTGCAGGTGAAAAACATGATTGTTTACGTGGAAAACAAAGTTCTGGAGGACCCGGCGATATCAGGCGATGAAAACTTCGGAGCCATTATTAAGAAATTCTGCACTTTTAGAGAAGGTATGAAAACTGCTCACCTTTAATTCAAGAGTTAAAAACAAAAACAAACACTTTTTTATGATGATTTATCGTCTTTGTATTTGTCAGATCTCGACGACATCTCCAATCGTGTCGACTTCATCATCTGTCTTGGTGGAGATGGAACGTTGCTGTATGCGTCTTCACTCTTCCAGGTATCCACCCAGGTGTTCCTCCTCCTGTCACTTTAAAGGCAGCGTGTTGTGTGTTTGTACACCTTTTGCTACAGCTGTCTTCTTTTTGTTTATTTGCAGGAGAGTGTTCCACCAGTTATGGCCTTCCACCTGGGCTCCCTGGGCTTTCTGACACCTTTCAAGTTTGACACCTACCAGTCTCAGGTCACCCAAATCATTGAAGGTAGCTAAACGTTCTCTGTCCTGTCTATCAGCCACCAGCGAGCATCCCCTGTTTGGTTGTTAAGCCGAGGTTGTTGTGTGTAGGTAACGCTGCCATCGTCCTGCGAAGTCGCTTGAAAGTCCGGGTGCTTAAAGAGAACTGGGAGAAGAAAGCCAGAGTGGACGAGAAGGGCATCATTCTGACCAACGGAGACATCGAAAGTAGTCGCAAAGCTGTGCAGTATCAGGTAACCGCTGCCTTCATATCCACCCTCTGATAGCCACGAGCTGATTGTTCTGTTTATCATTTCTTATTAAGGGATCCAGCCCTGCTAGATTACAGGTTTTGGTTCTCCAAAATGTTTGTCAGTCGGCTGCAGGGTGTAGCTGCACTCTGCTCAGTTCACAGTAAATAGGCCACGGGCTCACCCATGTAGCGTAATTATCATGACTCAGCCGTCCTCACCTGCCGCCTGTAGGCTTTTACCTGTTGTTCAACAACAACACAACAAACGCTGTCATGAGTTGATGTATGGCTCCAACTGCAGGAATGAGGTTAATGGTCTCCAACAAGCACGAATCCAACAAAGTGGTCTGTTGGTGACGTCAGCGGCGTAGGTTCACCGGGTCGGGACAAACAGGAAGTTACACTTTGTTTTCATCTGATGTGTTTCAGGTTCTGAATGAGGTGGTGGTGGACAGAGGACCGTCCTCCTATCTGTCCAACGTCGACCTCTTCCTGGACGGACACCTCATCACAACAGTCCAGGGAGATGGTGAGTGGGCAGCCTGTCTTTACGCTCAGCGGTGTGGGCGAACACTTAAAAAACACGAGTACAGCTTTGTGACCGCCCAGACAGGAAGGTCTGTGGACGGGGCAGAGTTTAGTTTCTGCACCTCTGGCTGAGCTTCGCCTCCCAGGAAGCCATGTACTCGTTGTACAGACGTTTCTAGATGTTGTGTTAAAGACGGTGGTAGAAAATTGCAGCAAAATATTTAAAGAATGCGAAAAATCTCCGTCCACAAAAGTAGTTCAAACTGTTTCCAGCAATCTGAAAATAAACTTCACAGTTTTGCAAAAAAAACAAGATGAAATTCTGCCATTAGAGAGGATTTAGGACGTTTTCTGAAAAAGAATGAATGATTTTCCTAAATAAGTTCTGTCACTGGAAACACAAAGACTGAGCTGCTGTTTCTGTTGACTTTCTTTTTGTATTCTTTGACTCCAGACAGCGAGAAACACGACAGATAGCAGCTGACACTAAAGAATAATTACAGCTTGCCTGATTGGAAACACTTGGCTCTGTTTTCTGACAGCTGATGAACATCTGGGGCGTGTTCCCGTATGACCACACAGTGCAGCAGATCAAGTTCTAGTGTGTGCTTCACAGTGTCTGGCTCAAGTGCAAGTGAGGTCACCTGAGCGCTCAGACAGGTGGTTTAAGCAAGTAGTTTGTACCAGTTGTGTGCATATTTCACACAACGGTACGTACTTGTAGGTACGCTTAAGTTCCTGAAAGGAGAAAGTATGTCATCTGGAGCCCAGGGGTGGTTTAGCTTCTGGCTTCTCCTGCTCTGTTTCTGAGGTGTGGTGTAGCTTACGCAGCTTAGTTGATCCACTCCAGAGTTGTTGAAGGTCCCATTTCGTGGCCCTTTTCACCAAATTCATACAAGTTTCACACGTCCCCATGAAGTGAAACTATAGCAAAGATGTTTTGATTTAAGCCCTGTTCAATACGCGCTACTTTATGTTGTGATATTTTAAGTTTTCACCGCTGAAAAATAAAATACAGCCAATTCCCCAATAAAGAGAAGTAAACAGAAGCACTGGCTGAGTTTTGGTTGTCCTGAAGCACATGAAAACCTACACAGTCCTGGTGTATTGGTTTCAAATGAAGGTTTAACCATCTCTAAATGTCCCTGAATGTTCCCTCAAAGCTCTGACCTGTGGGCATCAAAGTTAATGGTAATATCAGGGAAATCAGTTGCACAAGTGTCCATTGTTGTGGTGACAGGAAGCCTTTTAGCTCCTCAGATGCTGGGAGTGCATGAAGGCTGTTGTGTTCACTCTTGCAGCCAACAGCAGAATATGTGTATCTGTGCTCATTCCTGAGACATTTTAGAGTTCATAGAAGCAGCTCTACCTGGTGAACATCTTACCAGGAAGCAGCAGGCAGGGACTTGGATATGTTGTGTGCTGGAGTTTCTTCTGGCTGAAAACAGTGAATGTGTCTCTGTGTCCCCTCAGGTGTGATCGTATCGACACCTACAGGCAGCACAGCGTACGCAGTGGCTGCAGGAGCCTCCATGATCCATCCCAACGTCCCAGCCATCATGATCACCCCCATCTGCCCACACTCGCTGTCCTTCAGACCCATCGTGGTGCCTGCCGGGGTGGAGCTCAAGGTATTTACACCAAATGTGTGAGGAAGTGGTTTGCTCTGCACTCAAAGCGTTTGGCAAACTCGCAGCATGTCGTTTCACAAATATGTCTGTAGCATGTCGTCAATCCATTAATCAAACACAAGTGCTATTACCAAGAGCACCTTTTAACTAGAACAATTAAAGTTAAATTCTGGTAGATCAATCGTAGCAGCTGGACCTGCTTGAGTTCCTTGAAGACGTTCCACCTCTCATCCAAGAGGCTTCATCAGCTCTGACTGACTAGTTGGGAGTTCCACATCCTGATATCCTGAAGGAGTCATTAACACCTGAGTTTCTGTTGAGGGTTTGTTGCTCCTCCCGTCCTCCTGCCACGATGGGAAACGAACCCCATGAAGCCTCTTGGACGAGAGGTGGAACGTCTTCAAGGAACTCAACCAAGTCCAGTTGCTATGATTAAACCATGAGAACGATTCCACATCCCAAAAGAGAGAGCCAGCCATGCTTTCTAGACAACTATAGCATTACATTAGAAGTAAATGAAAGTAATTTTGAAGTTCGGTACATTTAAGAACCTCATCTGAATTGACCACAACATGTTTCCTGTCAACCGCACAAACCAAACCTTGTTCTTTGTGGGATTTCTCAACGTTGCTTCCTTGTTATTTCTCAGATAATGCTGTCACGGGATGCCAGAAACACAGCCTGGGTATCATTTGATGGCAGAAAGAGACAAGAGATCTGCCACGGAGACAGGTTAGTCCACATACCGGGCACCGTCAGGCCACACACACAACAAAGGGGAAACAGAGTAAACGAACCAAGACAAAGCCTGCAGACTGAGTAATGGATGAGTTCAGCTGCCTCAACACTTCCATTATGTAACCCTATCAACCTGCTTAATGGGCTTTAGGCCATGACTGTCCACTGAGCCACGTCCAACTTCTTTCTTTATGTAACTCATCCACACATAATCACCTTCCTGGTTCTTGAGACGAGTGTTGCCCCACAAGGAAGTCGTGTTGCTGCACACGATGTCAACACCTCCTTTTGTTCTAACATTGCAGACTTTTCTTCCATTATGTGTGTGAGACAAACCCTTGACTGTCTTTTTTTGTTTTTTCTTCCCATCACTGTTCCAGTATTACCATCACCACTTCCTGCTTCCCCGTTCCCTCCATCTGTTTCCGGGACCCGGTCAACGACTGGTTCGAGAGCCTGGCTCAGTGTCTGCACTGGAACGTGAGGAAGAAGCAGAACTACCTTAGCTCAGAGGACGAGGAGTTCTGAGGCTACGAGATCTCCTCTGAGGTCTCCGGGACTCGACCGCGCTCTGTTTTATGTGTTCACGGACGGACAGTATTACCAAACTCTTTTCAAAAACGTCTGTTGCTCTTCACACGGATTGAAACGATTCCACAGAATACTTTCTATCGATCCCAAAAAAAACAAAAAACGCTTCTGTCGCCATCTTTTATGTTGTGTTTTAGTGGAAGAAATGTGAGGTAGTGAGAGACGAGCTTTGAAATCCCAAAGTCCTAAAATTAAACAGAATATTTTGGTCGTTTTTAGCGAGCTGTCGTTGGCTGAAGACGTAATGAAACAGAAATTACAAAAAAATACTAATAATGTTGTTAAATAACTTGATCGAGTTTTAATCATGTCTAGTTGATTCATAAGATTTGGGACACTTTGGGCTCCGTAGAAAACAAACGTTGAGCCGGTCGTGCTCGTGCTCGTCCAAGAACCAGCAGCACCAAGCTAACAACAAGTCTGCATATGTTCAGCTCTACATTATGTGTTGGCTCATTTAAATTTAGGATTTTTTGAACGGAGTTTGGCCCGCTATCGGTAACGGATGTGTAAAACTGTTCCTAGTAGAGAAAATTTGACTAGTAATCAGAAGGAAGGACAACTCTTGGGTGGAACCAAAATGCACAAAGGTGGGTTGGCGGTTATTGCAGAACCCTTGATGGATGTTATCAGGCCTGTTGTTGCACTTTTGAATCCTGGAGACAGATGCAGGGACACGACCGCTTCTCTACAAACAGCGAAAGCTCATTCTGTCCGTAGAGGCTGAAGGCCGAGTTGCACTATTAAGGAAAAGGAATCAGACGCATCAGGAAAAACACTGTAACGCCATCAACAAGTGTTGTTGTTTTTTCTTCGTTGAGGGGAAGAGCAGATTTCCAGTACAGCAGTGGCCCGACTGTACAGACTGTGCCTTAAACACTGGTAACATTAATGTAGAGAAATCTTATTTTTCGAGGTTTACATCGTGTCTGTCGTATTTTTTTATGACGCACTTGCACATCTGTAACCGTGTGCACCGTGCCCCATGTCGACTGTCGTATCCATCAGCAGCACGTGATTGAATTGTATTTAACGTCGCGTCACATCTCTACGTTCAGTTGAACGCGAATCATTCCAGGCAGAGACCGCGGCTCAGATGTCTTTATCTTTTTGATGTCCGCTTTTTAAAAATGTCCGTTTAAGCCATAGCTGAACTTTTAAAAAAGTATATTTTCTAGACCAATGTCTGTGGGTGGTTTACTGCTCGGTGTGGAGGAACTATTACAGACTTCCAATCAGTTCGTCTGCCGCTGTGCAGCCTTCGTTGAACACTTCTAGGTGGCCTACCCGACACGCCAGGTGTACAGATGTTATTATATACGTTATAAAGTGGTTCTGCAAAATGTGTTGGGGTGAGACGACGAACATCACCTGTTGAAACTCAGCAAGACAGGCCGAGCTCTGAAAGGCAATCATTCCTTTAACTCTTGAGTGTGTATATAAATGTAATGCTTGTATGAGATGTATTTTGTAAAGTCCACATGTTTATTAACTGGTTTACAGTGTATTATTAATGAAAATAAATCTATTTGGTACTTTTTTACATTAAGTATGTGTTAGCAGCTCTAATTACTACAGTACAGTGAAACACTTGTACGTCTACATTTATTCTGAATGCATTCCAGGACAACATGAATAGTCGACCTTTTAGGAAAGATGCTGGCGTGTTTGTTTCACACGACGGTTTGAGCCCGGTTCTGCTCGGAGGCCCGGGCTCTGACCTCTGAGGCGTCGTCGGCTCTCAAAGTGCTTTTCACTTTTGTAACTCTAACTTTTGTATCATTAAGTTTGTTAATGTTTCTAATTTTTTTTTTCCCCCAAAAGACTTTAATAAACAGAAAGTTTAACCAGGAAGTGTGTGTTTGGGTGTTTGATCCACGCCAGAGAGCTGCTCGTCAG